ATCATTTGCAAAGAAATTTACATAGTAAAAAAAAGGTTTTTTAAAGATATTTCAGCACTCACCAGGCCGATTTTGATGTTCTAACTACTATTAGATACGTTTTGACAAGCTTTATAAAAGTCTTTTAAGTTAGAAGAGTGATTAACTTAGTATAAAAAAAGTTTTAGATTCGTGTAGTCCACATTCACACTATAGTAAATTTATATAGTAATCTGAGTCATATTACTCTTTAGCTTACTTGTAGACTTCTAATTAATATATAATTTAGCTTTTAATTAGTATATTAAAAAGTTAGAGTATAGTCAACTCTCTTTTAACCGAACCTCTCTAAACCAAACTCTCTCTTAACCGAACCGAAAACTCTAAAACATTTATAAATTTTATTATAAAGTTTGGATAAGCTTATAATACCTCTTTGAGAACCAAACTAAAAACACAAGAATGGGCTGTTCGGATAAGAAAAAGTTGACTATAGTGTTATTTATTACTTAATTTTTTTTATCAGAGGCTTATCTTCTTAGTTTTTAATATATTATTTATTAGATCATATATAAAATTTTAATTTTTATTACCCTTTCTCTAAAAAATCATCTAATAATTGTCAGCTCCCTTAGCTTTTAATTAATAAGTGAATTGAATAATTAGCTCTTAATTAGCAAATAGATTTGGTATTGGCTTTTATAGTAAGAGAAGTGTCATTTATTATCTGATTTTTTTAGCAAGAGGTGAGTATCAAAATATTAGGCCAATAGATTGTATATATATATGTTTATATATAATCATAATTATTTGAAAAAATGAGAAATTTTACTATTTACAAAAAATTAGCTAATAAATAACACTTCTCTAATTAGTATATTACTGTAATGTCTTTTAGACAATTAATTTAATTTAAACAGCCAATTATATAAAAGTCTGTCTATAAGTATACTCCAGGTGAATATAGTAGTACTACTCTTTAAATTTTTTTAATACTACAGTATACTATATATTTTATTTAAAAATTAAAATTATAATATTTGACTTCAGATCTATAATTCTATGTATTTTAGTATTGTATATATTAACTACTTAAATTATATAATATAGCATAGTAGAAGTTTGTTTTGATTAGCTGTTATTAGAATAAATATGATTGGCAACAATCTTTTTTTTATATAGTCAATTGTAATTTTTAAAGTACTTTTATTAATAAAAATTATTATATCATATAAAACTTTTTTTTTGTAATACAAAATATAACAACCAACTCAAGTTATTAATAGTTTACTTTTAAACTTATTGTTTTTTAACTTGAAATGCAATAAAATGCAATATTTCCAAAAGCCAGATGAGAGGTAGATATTTTGAAAGGTTAGAAAGTAGTCTGGTGATTTAAACAATTAGTAAATTAAAATTGAAGGATTTGCTTCAACTAGTTTGTATTTTTTTACAAGTAAAAGTATTATATTAAGCTATTATTTTAATTCATATGAGGCCTTTGCAGTAGAAAGGACCCAAACTCACAAAAAAAAAGATCTTCAGAAAATCGATTTTTATGTTATAAATCTTATAATAAATCATAACTTTAAAGAGCTATATTGCAAAATTTTATTAATACAATTACTTTTGTGCCTTAAGCAAAAAATGATTCTAGCCTTATTTTAAATTGATTTATATAAAAAAAGTTCTTTTGAAAAAAATGTTAGTTTGGGTCCTTTCTACTGCAAAGCTCTCATATTTTAATATCTTTTGATTATAATTTATTTAAATACAAGTATACTTTGTAAATATAATATTTATAATACACTTTTCTGATATAAGTCACCAGATTTTTTATATAATAATCATTTTTTTACAGATTTTTGATTTGCAAATTCTTAACAAACTATATATTAATTCAAATTAAAATTTTTTATTTAGCAACTATATATATAAATTTTATTTATATAATTTAATACCATAGTAGGGTACCTATTAGCAGCAATTATAGCAAGTATATATTGATGTATACTTTTAACAAAATTTTTTAAAATTGAACTATCGATTTTAAACCACTCTTCCTAGAGCAAATTGAAGAGTTCTGACTCATTACTTAGTAGAAGAATATGCTTATATATATAATGTTCTAATTCATCTTATAAATATTCAATTGGGTTAAGGTCTGGGCTATATAAAAGTTACTAGTATTTTGCAAAACTAAATCGAAGACCCAAAACTGAACCAAAACTAAATCTTAGTTCAAATCCAGCCTATGATTTTTAGAAAAACCCAGTTCTGGATCTTTAATTAGACCTGAACCAAAATAATGCATACTAATTAGCTATATTTTAGCAGTTTAGTTCTGGGTCTTATTTCGGACCTGACTCAATTTCTCAGTTCAGATTTGAGTACTTAAAAAAACCTGCTTGAAACCAGTCTATATGAAATACTAAGAGCCACAGAAGTTGTATAATATTATTTTCATTAAACCAATATTAAGTAAATATAGAAGTGTAAATTTTAGCATTATTGTCTTGAAACATATAATTCTTTTAATCAACTATGTTTATTAAATTGTTTAAATAAAATACATAACAAGTTTTAAAACTTTCTATATAATTTTTTAAATCTATCTTGCCATAAACCCAAATTAAAGATCCAAGACTATAATAGCTAAAACACTTCCAAACTATAATGCCTAATCTCCCTAATCTAAATATTGAAACTAAACATTTAATATCATATTTTTTTTAATTTTTTTCAAGCATATCTATGACCATCACCTCCAAATACTTCAAACCTTGATTTATTGCTTCAAATAATGCTTTTTTACCTTTTATTTCAACTTTTTTTCACTCTTATCTAATCCAAACAAGCCATATAAAAAGCCTCATCTACAAATAGTTTTTTTAAACCAACTTGACTATAAAACCCTTTATTATGAAGATACTGTTGTATAGTTTATGTAAATACTTTAGCAGAGGTTGCTTTAATGAATTTGTTTATTAAAATATTTAGTATAATCTTTCTGTCCTTTTTTAAAATACAGGTTAGGTGTCAAACACCATGTTTAGTTACTTTAGAAAGTCTTTTAGAATGAAGAAAAGGTACAGTATACTTAGTCTTTCTGTAGTATGTAATAATGTCATTGATAGTGCTTTTGAGAAATTTTAAGGTCTTTATGATTTTTATTTGCTTTATACTGATTTTTCAAATACTAATAACTTGGTTATGTTGTTTACAGGTAAGCTGTTTTCTTTGTTTTATAGTAAAAACAAAAAAAAAATTAATACACTAGTGGATTCAAATAAAATTGTAAAAAATTTTTTTTTAAAAACCAGTAACCAAATTTGAAAAATCTGGTGATTTATGTCAAGGAGTGTACAATAAGTGATAGTATTGGTAGTATTAAAAATAGTTATGTACATGTTATTTAGTAAATATTTATATGTATTTATTGCAAAAAAAATAACAAAACCTTTGTAAAATTCAAATTAAAATTGTTAATACAAACCTAAATTAATATATTATAAATTTATAATATGTCTTTAGAGTGTATTAACTAATTTTTTTAAAGTTTATAAGTTATAAAATTTTGTCTAAGATTATATTTGGGTATGATCAGGGTTTTTGGTTTACTATAATTTTTAATTTTTTTTAGTAAATTTACCAGGCTATTTGGTAAATTACCAGTAAATTTACTTTTAGTTATTCTTAAGAAATGTTTGTGCAACATAAAATCATGTGATTTGATAATTAAAAAAAATTTTTTGCCCAATCAAATTATATAAACAAACTTAACCTTAAGTATATAATGGTAAATTTACCACGCCTTTGGTAAATTACCTAGTAAATTACTATAATTTACAAGTGGTAAATTTACCACCAACAACCCTAGGTATAATTAATATTTTTTTTGAGTATATTAACAACCAATCAAAATAAACTTCTGCTATGCTATATAATATAACTCCTACAGGAAGATCCCCAAAATTCCGGGTTGGAAGCTTCAGAACTCTGGTCAGAATGGCTGAAGTTGATCAATTTTGCCCCAAGATCACTAAGAATTTTACTAATGAAACAATAGTTGTTCATTAAGTAAAAAGTGCCTAGCTAATAATTTTACTATAGCCTATAGCTCTCACTAACCCTAACACAGCCTAACCCCGACCCTAGCCACGATGCATTCCGGCCATTACGACCTGAAAATTTGGGGATTCCCTGTAGAAAATATGTAAATATGTAATATACATCTTGTAATAAAATTTGGCCAATTCTGATTGGTCAATTCCTTACTGCGCCCAAAAATTAAATTTTTTAACTCTCCCGGTTATAAAAACCAATAATACAAATTCGCATAGCCTTATATAATATAACTATAATTTTTGTATAAACATCAATATATTAAATATACTGTATACTTAGATTCATTTTGCACAAAATATATTCTATATACAGTAGTATAAGATTTGAAATTTAAATTTGAAATTTGAAATTGGCCAGAGTTTTATAACAGCCCAAATAGGGTTTGTCCGGTTTGGGATTTTTTCACATGGAGTAGAATTTAACATAAATAAAAATCCAAAATCTTAGTCCTATATAAAATATATTATGTTTTCATGTGATTTATAACCGATCCTTAGGACTCGATCCCAAAGGATCGATAGTTATTTTATAATTAAAATTTTAGAATATAAGTTTATATACTATATATATTGTTAACTTTAATTTTACATACAACTTTTTGTAACCACGTTACCTGATCTTGACCAGTATGGAGAAAACAAATTTTTATGGGCATACTAACAAAGATTAATAACAAGTACAGTACCTACAATCGTAGTAAGTGTACATATACATAAAGATAAAAGAAGGTTGAAGTTTAGATGTATACTGGTACTAATAGTGATGGCTATTTCAATTGCATGCAAAATACAATGATAGCTCTATATATAATATTTTTATATTTCTAAAAAAAAATTGAGTACGATCATTGCAAACGATTAATTCGCAGCATACAAAAGGTAGAGATAAAAATTTCATGGTAAATAAACAAATGCAGAAGCATAGCTAACACTACTATCATCTCCACGAGTAACTCGACTTGACTGTGAATAATGCACGAATCTGATTCTTGGTTTTGTAGTATCAAAAGGTAAATTGGGATTTTCACTGTTTTCAGCAACAGTTTTTTCTTGACTATTTTGCAATGCATCGATAGTAGATAAAAGTACACCAATAGGATGTCTTCCACATATAGTATTTTTTGTTTTAGAAAGGTATGAGTGAAATTCTTTATGATTCATAGTTTCAATAATAGACATCCCTTCACGGTCGAGATTTTCGATAGACTTATATATGGGAATTGATAAAGACGTATTGGATTTACGAGAGAGATAAATACTAGTATTGGGTTCATCAGAATAATAAGTGTATGAAAACCGTTGGCCCCTATAGGTAGTAATAATATGAATTATGACAAAGATTATATTAAATTAAATAAAGTAATAATTGAAAACATATATAGTATCATACCAATGACAAAAATCTGATGAAATAATGAATAGATTTGATGGATCAGAAAGGTAAGAACTAAAAATTTTTCCGTATAAAGATTCTTTAGATTCTGATAACGAGCCAACCAAGATTGGTACGACTTTGATAGAATTAATCTTGCTATAAAATGAAAAAGGTATTTTAAGAATGAAGTAATGAAATTGATATATTTTGTATTATACATTAAATTATAAATTTATATGTCACCTTTCCAAAATTTTGTAAACGTATGGAAGATGCATCTCAATGCTATGTTCTTCCTCGTCAACACTAAGTGACATTTCATCAAACTGACCAGTTTCTCGCAACTCATTAATAACTAGATAAAAAATTTACTTAATATAATAATATGAAATGATAATATGAAATGAAACTATTAAATGTATACCTTCCAGATCCAAAGTCAATTTTCCCAGAGGCGTTTCATACTCGGTACATTTTGAAATGGCACATTTTGTGAGATATGCATGGTGAGAAGGACCGAGAATGAATACGCGCGTCCTGTAAAATTCATGTATCACGTCGAGAAGCGCCGTTCATGAATGATTAGACAACGTGATACAATCAAACCTTTTCCACATCGATGAATAGATCTTACACAAAAGCAGGATCGATACACTTATAAGCAAATGCAGCAGCTTGTCCGCTATAAGAATATCCAGCATGTCTAATTACGTATATGAAACAAAAAAAAAAAAAATTGATAAAAATCGAAGAGAGTAACCATATACGTCATTTTATTAATTCACAGTCACCATTTTATAATAGAAAGACACTTACGGCGCAATAATCGCGCGAGCACCAGGAACTGGAATAGGAACGTCGTCTTCTGTTGAAGCGGGGACATTTTCTAGCCAATGACTAAGTTCTTTGTTCAAACGAGGACCTTAAAATGGCAGTCGATCAATATGGAGACAGTTTTGACGCAAAAGAACGTTTTGGTTGAATTCTCAGCACAAAAGTACAAAGTTCATTATATAAATTTACCATTATCTGTATACCAAGAACCAGCATGATAAGCTTTTCTGCTCATTTTGAATAGACAGTTAACAGAAAGTTGACTGTATCACTCAGGAGGGACATCCCATCAATTTGAAGATCGTTACACAGTACTTAGCGATAAAGGAAAAACCAATCCACCTAGTATCGCCACCAAAACAGAGATTGTACCCGTATCGCTATTCGGGTAAATTATTATGTAAATTCTATCCGGTAGGGTACGTACGTAGGTAGGTATTTGTACGATGTAAAAAATAGACAAGCCACTGAAAAATAAAAATTTCTGAGGTGCGGCTAGGGGAGGTTAGCTTTAGGGTAGAGTTTATAATAAAAAAGTATAAGTGGGTTCTAGAGGGTTAAATAGAAACCCTCATTCCATTTTAATCCGGAAGTAAAAGTAGCAAAACATTGATATTGATCCATTGTGCCATCGTTATTAACCCACTGACATTAAAAAAAAGGCATTATGGTATTGCGATATACAGTAACACGTTTTATGAGCCTTTCGATTAATACTTCAAAGAGAGAATTATTTATAAATCTCAAATCTCAATTAATCATTTGTTTCGTTTTATTATTTTTTTTTTATTGAGCCATGTAAACAACTTTTTCTTATTCGACACTTCATTATTATCAAATATTTTTCTTAAACCAAGTTTTACAAACTCTTGTCTTTTCAACCGGTTTGTTTTTCAGAAAAAAGATTTGGAGTGCACATCGTGTAGTTGCTTTAGATGATGATGAGTTGACGATATCTTTACTCTGTTTTAACCCATTTATACGTATACATAGAATTAGTTTGCGACACCTACAGTAATTGCTGCGGTTATTCGTGTCTTCAATTTCCTCAACATCAATCTCAATTCAGTTTTTTAATTTTTTCGACTTCAACCTCGCAGGATAATGAAATACAGATCTTTATTTCGGTTAAATGAGTGAAAGTATTAAAAGCTCATGGATACGTTATTGAAAACGTCATACAAATTTAAATAACGATGGTACAGTACGTACGTTATCTAGCTAATAAAATAAAATTACATATTGTCATTAGTTTATTATTACACTTATTATATTTTGTTTGGTCTTTTTTTCCCAATCGGGAATGCCTTGGGTATGTAAAGCGGTGGCTATAGTAAAGCATCCGGTGTACATGTTATTTGAAAAATCTGCCGATGATTATCATCGACCAATTTAGAAAAT